TTGTATGAGATTCTCATAGAATAAAACCAAATGGGTTCTTATGACGAGTTAAGTCCAGGTGACATGTTCTCTAACATAAATCACCTAAGCGCTTGCTTTGACATCACCATGTCAATATGTGTGAGATCTCTTACTCGCTATTATATAGCATAAGCATAGCACTCACAAGTCTATCCATATTTGTCAATGTCCATTCTTGACAATACTACGACTTGAGACATTTAATGATATCATTTATGTGCATTAGTGTTTGTCTCGTATTTTTTGATCAATCACTATTGCAAATGCATATTATAAGGACTTCTATCTAATTCTTCCGAACATGTAAACAAAAGAATTAACGGAATGACTTCTTTATTATTATCAAAATAAATAATGCAATGATACATTAACTCAAGCTCATCCATACGTGGTTAGATCTTGGGCACCTACACTAACAAATTTCTCATACTTATGGGAAAATGAACATATACAACATGCCTTTATGGGTGCAAATAATGTAAATTAGACTTACGACCCATTCATAACTTATAAGGTGTAAAGGCTACCGATTTAAAAAGCATACGATTAAGTATATAGACTACAGATCATTAATGCATCTCTCCATAATTAAATCAAAAGATTCATATGTACCATCATAAATCTAACCATGTTAAATAATATACAGTTCTTATACTCTACTACACCATTTTGTTATTGTTCTAGGAATTATAAGTTGTATAATTATGTCTTTCTCATTACAAAGACCTTTAAATTGATATAATAGATACTCATGGCCATATTGATCCTCAAAGTTTTAATTCTTTTATCTAATTGATTCGCAACCATGTTAACGTATTTAGTAAAGCAATATATTGCTTTTCATTTATGGGAGATAAAAAATACATAATCAAATCGAGTGAAGTTATTTATAAAAGTAATAAAATAGGATGCACCATGTCTAGTTCTTACTTTCATAGAATTACAAATGGTTGAATGTATTAGATGCAAAGGAAATTCTACCCTTTGAGCTTTATCAAATGGTTTTCTAGTTGTTGTTCCTTGTAAGCAATATCCATAAATGGGCAAGTCAATTCTTATGATTGATCCTAAAAGACCATCTCTAGCTAGTTTCTTCATTCTATCTTGCACAATATGCCCTCAACGAGCATGCCATATATTAATATCTACATTATCATTACTAAAATTAATTAGCATAAAAAACATATATTACTATTCACATTAGAATATTTGGTATTCAACATCAAAATCATCCACGATATAATCAAATCTTAAATAAATAAAACCATTAAATATTTCTAAAATACTACCATAGAAGTACAAATTATATCTTAGTTTGAATATAAACAACTACGGAGACTAAATTTTATTGAATCTCTAAAGTGTAAAAGACATCATCCGGATACAAGGTATTTTCTTCCTATAAATTCAACTTCACGTGCCAAGTCCAAGCACTTCAATCCTCGTGTTGTTACCTACATATATCCATTGCCTCCCACTTAAAATCCAACAAAATTCTATTAATATATCTCTATCTTTAGCTACATAGTTGATGGCTTTTAAGTCTACAATCCAAAAAGGATGAGATTTACTAAGCATTATAGTACAAAAAATATAAGCATTAATAGAAGAGTTATTTAAAGATAATACCTTTTTTGACTCGGTGCATTCACAAGCAAAATGACCCGACTTGCCATAATTATAACACATCAATTTAGTCTTGTCTTTCTTTCCATTATATTTTCCCCTCTTATGCTTAAAAAACTTGTTCCTCTTTTTTGGTATATGTCCGAGTCTCTTTCTCTTTTTTATTGTTATGCGACTTACATGTAAAGCTTAAAAATTTCTTAAAGTTAGATTCAGCCACTTATGCTTATGCATTTGGCCTAACCGCCTCATGATGCTCATCTTCCAGTTCAATATGATGAACAACATCGGCACATATTTTGATACTCTCATTGTGGGTCATGTTCACTTTTATATGCTCTCGGCTATAAAGGAGAGATCGGATAACATCCTATACTTGTTGTTCATCCGTCAAGATATGCCTAGCTTGCTTCGGTTATGTAATCATGTTCGACATGTCCCTCAAATGCTTGCTTCATGGATTTGTTCAAGACCTTTTTAAAAGTATCGAATTTGATCATCAACTCGCTTTTGTTTGTAGATAGTGGTCATTTCAAACTCCTCCCTTAGTGCTACTTAAATGGCATTAGCAGTTGGACAATTTTGATACTTAAAAACTAGACTACTATTCATAGAACTAATCAATATTCTCGTTGCAATGGAATATGCCTTCTTCTAGGCACGATAAATAGTAATATCTCGACAATTTTGGACATTGTTGTTCACATCATCAAGTTGAGACTTAATCATTTCATGATTAATAGTCTTCAATGCTTGTTACTCTTTTAGGATATATTGTGTCTTAACATGTCATATGTTATAATTGTCCCATTAAGTTTTTTGTCCTTATTCAAATCAACAATGGCATTCTTTATTATTATTTTGTCAATCGGATATATATATATATATATATATATATATATATATATATATAGTCACTAATTTTTTTAAATTAATTATTAAAATTCAACATAATATACGAAATCGACAATTCATTACATTCTCCATCATCATCTATATTCAAATGTTTAATTTTAATAACTAAACTCAAAAATAGTGTTATTTAATTTTATCTCATAATATTTGTTAAACATTTATGAACCAATAAAACGAGATAAATATAAACAAAATAAAATGTTTCATAAATTTATACATATAAATTCAAAATTAACATGAAATTTAAACACATAATTCAAACAATATACAAATAGTTTATGAAATTATATATAAAAAAAATCAACCATCAGCAACCTTATTATCAAGATCATCATTATCATCAATGTAATCCTTGCAATTATGATCATCATCATAATCATAAAGTGAAATGTGAGAGGAGATGTTATTTCCTTGACAAGGTGAATATCTTAAATACTGTTTTCTAATTGATAAAGACATTGACCTATCAGTTGAGATTTTTTTTAAAAAAAAAAAAAAATCAACGTTGGAGAATTAATGAGGTGCATTGTCCAACAGATAAATTTCAATGATGCATCGCTGGGCTTTTCTTTTTATTATTATTATTATTATTATTATTATCTTATTAAAAATTTTGGAATAAATTCCAAAATTGTCGAAATTCTGAACCCTAGCAACAGAGTATTGCATAAAATATTTTAAAAAAATTTCTTAGAATTTATTTCATTAAAAAATCATTATTAATGAATTTCGTACTTTTTTATAACAATAATTAAAATAAATTCATTATAATATTAAAAATTCAATTCTGGACTATATAGATGAATTTTTCAAAAACTTTCACAATTTAATTTCCTCCATACTAATTATTATGAATTTTTATCATTTTAGATAAAAACAAAAAATCATAATAAATAATAATTTTAAATCAAAAAGATAGTTTGGCCTACTGGTCAAAAGTGCTAGATTAAATATCTGGTTATGAAGGGGTGTGGATTCGAATCGTACAATTGTCAAAATTATATTAAATCACAATCAAATCTTCCACAATTCAAGTGTTAAAATGATTTTGTGGCCTTATGGGAGTTGAGGGGGCGTGGCTTTATGCGTAACTTTTTCTGTTTATTTTTTTTTTTTTAATAATAATTTTGTTATCGGGTCAATCCATCTTGGACGACCCAATCTTTTATTTTAGTAACAGTAAGATTTCCTCTTAATATGATATAGGATAAAAATATTTGAGCTAACAATAAGTAAGATCATGAGAGGATTGAGATTTTATACTTTTAACGTCACGCGAAGCACATGATTTGTTTTGCAAAAGAATTCCTCCTCTGTTAAAATATATTTAACAGATTAGGTCAATTGAAAAATAAAAATTCTTTGTTACTAAAAAAAAAAAAAAAAATGAATGTATAATTGAGACTGCCCAGAATACTTAGGCGGTAAATTTAAAGTTTGCCTTTAGAAACTATTATTTTTATGGATTCCATGACGTGGTTCCAAAAGTCTTTTTTCAAAAGAGATTATATGTAGTGTGGCTTAATAATAAATGGATGTAAACCTACATCATGGCCATATCCATCACCATAGTCTCCAAGATCAGTATGGTCTTGCCCAAGTTTCAATAATTGCGCTGTTCATAAGTAAATAAAGCATTAATAATATAGCAAAAAAGCCTTCTGATTTCTTTACGAGAGCTCACTTACTATTAATTTGTTTTTAACTGTACAGAACGGCTAATTCATCCTAATCCTAGCTATCAGTAGCTAGCTATTAAATACAAAAAGCGGAACCACATAAAACAAGAAACCAAAAACCGTCCATCCAGACTGCAATCTGCATCTCTTATTTTCAGCTCATCGCCTGTTTCTGTTTAGTCCTCCTGCCAAAACAAACAATTGGCACTTTAGTCAGTAATTGCCAGACAATCATTTCCACAAAACGGGCCAAATCATCAGCCAATTCTTCAAAAACCAAAAATAAAAAAAAAATACTACGGTGAAACTTGGCCATCTTTTAATTCAGCAAAAAAAAAAAAAAAAGATTTTCCCGTGAACCCAATGAAAAGGAGGAGGTAAACGAAAAGGCAGGAGATAATAAAAATCCTTAACAAGAAAATCGAAAATCAAACTCACAATTATTTATTATATATATCAAATTAAACGGAAATAAAGATAATAATAAAAAAAATTAAATTAAAACAACTTCCCGAGCTTATAATCAAAACCATCTTATATTACTCAATTTGTTTCATAGAAGAACAGTAATAAATTCTTGATTTCCTGGACTTTGCCTCTAAACAGAACATGAAAACATAACACTTGAAAATCAAAACAGAATCACGATCAGGAGATTCAAGAAACAGCCTCGTAAACCAAAAACAGAAAACAAAAGAAATCCCAATAAGAAAAAGCAGAAAAAAAACGAACCTTAATTGATTGACATATAGTCAATTTTCAGTGCAAGGCCTTGATGGTAGTTTTGCCACTGAGAGGCGAGCAGGGCAAGATAGGCCTAGACAAAAATATAACATCGACAGCAGCAGCAGCATGTGGAGCGACACCAAAACTTTCTTCTAAGTTTCCAATCAAAGCCTTCCTAATCATCTCTTTAGCAGCACTCAGTCTTTCTTCACCAAGATGTGAATCCTCCTCTCTAATTCTCAATACCTGACTATGCTTCAAGTATTTTGATCCCTCATCTTCTCTGTCAGACCCTCGAAATATTTCGTGGTTAGTCATTTTTTTTCTAATTTCTTTGAATAAGAAGTGCCAACAGCCCAACAAGACGAGAACTTCGAGGGAGCTCGATTAGCTTCAACAACAACAACAATAGTTACGTTAGGATGTGTGAACTTAATTATATATATAGACTGGAGAATCCTCCAACGCTGTGTTTTGGATTTTTTTATTTATTTGGTTACGTGGTTGATTGGGACAGTGGGGAGTGTGACACGTGGCATCATAATAAATCACGTGTTGACTGGTACGACATGTGGTGAGTGAATAAAAGAACTCGTGTTTTAGGAGACAGAAACGGTTGCCGTTTCGCTAGCAGAAAGTTTTGGGTCTATAATTGAATGCCACGTCACCTTCTCGAAGAGATTCGGCTCCTCAGATATTTTTGATTTCGTATTACTAACAATGAAATGACATAATAGATTTAATTGGGGGTGTAAAAGAGAGATTGGTTTGCGTCAACATCAAATCCCCTTAACAGTCCCCATTATTATTATTACTACTACTGCATTAATAATAATTATTCTATTATGTTTTTACAGTGCTAGCTTCTTTCATTTCCACAAAAATACTTCTAATTATATGGTGTGCAAAGTATGAGGATTTTTTTTTTTTTTCAAATTGAATCAGATAAAAATATGGCATTTTTTTTCAAATAAAAATTCAGTTATTAACTAGAATAAAAATTTATTTTTTTCTAGAAAATATGTCTTCTTTATTATTGGTTGCATTAATAAAAAACTATTTGAAAACAATGTAATATGCATTAAAAAAAAGTGTTAAAAAGAAAAGGATGAGAATTAATTAGTGATTGGACGGTTGAATCAATGATTTCATCTACCTAAGAGAAAAGTGTAAGTTATTTTTCTCATTTGAAATTTATTTTTCTTTTAAACTATAAAATACTTTTTATTGACAAAATTTATTTAAATAAGTCAAAAAATTGAAAAAAATTATTTTTAAAAAAAAATTTTGAATATCAAACAAATCATACCTAAGTTTATCTTTCTACTAGTACCCATGATTTTGCAATCAAATATGATATGATTGGAGTCTGGTTTATTAATTAATTTTTTAATTTGGAAAGGAGTGGCATCCACATGGCATGAAATTGTGAGGATAAATGGGATTTTGGGGAACAAGTGGCGTATAATGGTGCTCGAGGTTGAGTCAAATTTAGCTTTTTGTGTGAACGGGTTTTCATGAGTTGCAAGAGGAATTGGATTGTGTAATCAATGTGTAGGTGGTGAAGCTGTGATTGCTTAGTGTTAACACGTGGACCTAAATTGATAAAGAATTGCATGCGCGTATGGGGAGAAAGCAGCAATGAAGAAAGAAGACAGAAGGTGTAAAATGCCACGAGGCACGTCCTTGAGTGGAGGGCGACCAAGAAATGGACAAGGCTTCTGGTACTCCATATCTTACCGATGAATTTTTGCTCCCTTATGAAAACACCATGCACAAACATGACGCCATGAAATTCAACAGCTGTTCCTCCTAATGGTTATTGTATGAAAATTTGAAATTGTTAAGTATCAAAAGTTTTTTTTCTCTCTCTCTTATAAAAATATAGGCTTTATTATTAAAATTATTTTAAAAAAAATTGTTCTATTTAGGGGGGAAAAAACACCCTAGATTGAAACCAAAATCTTTGATCAAATTGTGATGGAAGTTTTTCGTCACAACATTTAATTTAAATCAACGTTACTAGAGAAGAAGACAACGAACGACGAGCCACCCCAACAGGTAACGCCCCGTTTGATTGCTCTTTCTACTATTTGGCTTGGATTTTGAAGCCTAGACGGGTCTGGTGCTCCTAGCTCACTTCTCTCTCTCTATTTTTTTTAAAATTAAAAATTATATTTCTTCTCTAAAAAATTTAATAATAATAACTCATAAAATTTGAATTTATAAATAAGTAATTTTTTATAGTTAATTTCAATTAATCTTTTATGGAAAAAATTTATATTGACAAAAAAAAAGTTAAATTTATTATAAAGAAATAATAACAACAATAGAATTAAAGAGAAATATGATAGAAAAATTAATTAACTATAAAATAAAGTGAATGCATAAGATAATAACTCCAACTAATCTCTCAATCTCTACAAAATACTTGAACATAAAATATTGAATAATCAAGCTTATTTATAGGCTTTAAGATTAAAAAGAGAATTTAAAAAAAGTATAAACCATTAAAGGTGCATAAATAATTGAATCAATTGTATATCCTTTTAAATTTCTCATATTGAAAAGTGAAATGAATCACATTAAGAATAATGAGAATATGAAATAGGCATTTATTATTTTATAACACTCCTTGAATGTCCATTATATAAGGAATATGTCTTCGTTAAGACCTAACTAGAAAAAAATATAGTGAAAAAAATCCTTGTGAAGGAAAAAAAGTATAATATTCCTTGTGCAAATTAATCTATGTGTTGGGCTCTCCTTGTTCAAAACATTATTTAAGATTTTTAAGGCCACACCTCTCTTGCAAACCATTTTCTCAAGAATCATGGTAGATAATGTCTTAGTGAATAAGTCCGTTGGATTGTCATTTTGCTTTATTTTTTCTTTAATTGAATTATGCAAACAACATTATTTTCATATGATATTGTTGAAACTTCTTTCTTGGTAGATAAATCATGTGTCTCTCGGATATGATGGGTCATTGATCTTAATAAAACATGTTCTTGAGTTGCCTCGTGAATTAATATTTTTGCATGATTTGAATATGTAGCGAGTAATAGTTTGCTTTATAGAAGGACTTGATATAATTACATCATCAAGTGTAAATGCATAACTCGTTTCGATTAAGTTTTATATAGATTAGATAAATAAAATGCATTTGCATAATCAACTAAACCTAATTTTGATTTATTTGAATAAAATAAATACCGTATCAATTTTTCTTGGAGATAACATAAAACATGTTTACTTCCATTCCAATATCTCTATATTGGAATAGAACTATGACTTGCTAATAAATTTATAAAAAAAAGTCTATATCAAGTCGATTACTATTTTAAGATATATCAATGCACTAGTGGTACTAGGATATAAAACGTCATGATATAGCTACATCATCAAGTTTAAATACATAACCCGTTTGTAATCGAGTTTTATATGAATCGGATAAATAACATATATCCGAATAAGCAATTAAACTTGATTTTTATTTCTTTGAATAAAATAAATACCATAGTAATTTTTCTTCGGAGATAATGTAAAAAATGTTTAATTCCATTCCAATGTCTCCGTATTGGAGTAGAATTATGACTTGCTAATAAATTTTAAAAAAAAGCTATATCAAGTCAAATATTATTAGTATGATATATCAATAAACCGAGTTGCACTAAGATATATAATTTCATGATATAGCTGCATCACTTAGTATAAATCATAACTTGTTTATGATCGAGTTTTATATGGATCAGATAAATAACATATATTTATATAACCAATTAAATCTTATTTTGATTTATTTGAATAAAATAAATACCATATCAATTTTTCTTCAAAGATAACATAAAAAATATTTAATTCCATTCCAATGTCTTCGTATTGGAGTAAAATTATGACTTGCTAATAAATTTATAGAAAAGGCTACATCAAGTCGAGTATTATTAGTAAGATATATCAATACACCGATGGCACTAAAATATGGTACTTCGGGATTAAGTAGTTCTTCATTATCTTTTCGATGTCGAAAAATGATCTTTTTTGGATATCAAATGAATGAATTACCATTAGGCTAGTCAATGGATGATTTTTATATAGAATAATTATAGAACTTTTCTATATAAATTGACTAATGAAAAAATATCATTCTCTAAGTACTCAAGCTGTAGATCAAGATAAAATTTTATTTCCCTAGGTATTAATATCAAATTATCTTTTTAGATAAATTATGGCACTTTGAATCTTTTTAGGAGTTTCAATAATATTTAAATCATCAACATATATAAAAATTATCACAAACCCTTTTTAAAATTTTTTTTATAAAAATACATGAATAAATATGATTATTTTTATAACCTTCTTTCAATAAATATTTATTGAAGCAATTATACCAATGCACACAAGTTAGTAATAAACGGTAGAATTAAAAAAATAAATATAAAAAGTATAGCATAAATTGAATTTCTAAAAACTAAAATAATAAAAAAATACCAAAATAATTCGATAGAGATCTCTATAATTTAATTGAATTCATTTTTCGAGAATATGTATTTCATGCTTCGGGCATTTTAAGTTCTTCTATAACTTTCATATACATATCATTTTCAATCGAACAAATAAGCTATGATCACATCTATTAAATATACGCATATGAAGTTTTTTATATATTTTGTCGAGTTATCGAGATAACGAAATGCAATAGCATCTATTCCATGAGAATATATCTCTTCATAGTCAATGTTAAGTCTTTACAAAAAATCTTGTTTTATAAGTCTTGCTTTGTATCTCGCAATCTCATCTTTCTTATTTTATTTTTGTAAAAATACTCATTTGTATCCCACTAGCTTAACATCTTCGAGTGTTTTGACTATGAGTTTAAAAACTACTCAATTGTTAAAGAATATAATTCTTTCGAATTGCTCTTTTCATTTAGTTTAATCATCTCTATGTCGATATTCTTCAATAAAATTAGGCTCGGGATCCTTATTTTCATTCAAAATATCAATTGTAATATTATATGAAAAAATCTTGTCAATAAATGTTTTTTTTTTCGATCCTATTTTCTCCCTGTATTAACAAAATTCATCAAAGTCTCATGATTTTTCTCAAGCATTTGGACTTCTTCCATAAGCCTATTATCATAAATATCTTAAACCGTTTTGTTAATATTTACATCCTTTATATTTTCATCTTCCCTTTTTCTTTTAGGGATTTTTTTCTTTAAAGCTGATTGGTCTTCAATGCTTCGGGTGTGCTTCGATTCATTTGTTATAACATTAATAGATTGTTCTTCTAGGATATTAATTCTAATAGGAGCATTCTTAGGGAGACATACATTTTAGTTACTCATTTAGGATCCGAGAATGTATCCGATAGTTGGTTTACAATACCTTGTAAATGAATTATTTTTTGAACTTCTAGTTCATATTATTTTGTACAAGGATCAAGATGATATAAGATGGAGTACTCCATGTAATATTTTTTTAATATTTTCAACTCGCTTATTTTGCTTATTCTCTCCCCTTAATGTTGGAAAATCTATTTTATCAAAATGACGAGTTGATAAATCGAGTTGTAAAAATATCTCTTGTTCATGATTCAAGATATTGAATTATCGAAGAGGATTTAAATCTAACATATATTTCCAATTTCTTTAAGTGTCCATTTTAGTTTGTTAGTAAGGGGCACTATGGATATATACTATAATGTCAAACATTCTTAAATAAGAAATATTTAGCTCATGACCATAAACAGATTGAAGAGGGCAAAATTTTTGATAACTTATGGGTTTGATTCAAATAAGTGTTGCCGTATGTAAGATTGCATGTCTCCAAATATAAACAAGGAGTTTTGTCTTTAAATAATGGTTTAGCTATCAATTGGAGCCTTTTGATCAATGATTTTACTAAACCTTTTTGAGTAAGAACATGAGCAACAAGATGTTCAACCTTTATTCTAATAGCTATCAATAATCATTTAATGTTTAGAAGATAAATTCACCAACATTATTAACGTGAAATATTTTAATGGCATAATTTAAAAATTATGCTTGTAGGTCGACAATCTCAAAAATGTTAGATTTCAAGTAAATAATAAATATATATGGGATCATTTTGTGGATGCATCTATTAAAATCATAAAATATCTAAATGATCCACATGGTAGATAAATTAATCCATATATATTGTCTTAAATAAATTTTAAAACATACTTGGAGATTCAATCTCAATTTTACTTGGTGATGGCTTAATAATGAATTTGCCTTGAGAACGTACAGAACATGAAATTTCACTAAACTCGAAGAATCTTATGACTCTTCAATAGATGCCCATATGAATTTTTAATATTTTTTTCATTATGAAAGACCTAGGATAAAAAAATTGATCATGTCATATAATAAAAGTATTTGAATTAGTAAACTTCTAGCTTACTACAACATTTATTTCAATCATTCTAATGTTTTGTAATAAAGACCAAAAGAGAAAACGAGTAAATTTTTTTAATACATATTTTCTACCCAATATAATAATTATAATATATAAATATTCAATATTTTTCACATTTTTTGTCTTGGTATGATATCAATTTAGATGAATACCTTTAGAACTCAACAAATTTCTATAAGACTTTAGAAAGAATAATACGTCATATATAAAATTTGTCCTTTCGGATAATAACATATTAATCCTTCTAGAACCTTTAAATTATATCCCTTCAAGTAATAATATATTTCTCTTCTAGAGCCTTTAAAAGTTATCTCTTCAAGTAATAATATATTCGCTCTACTAGAGCCTCAAAATTTTATCTCTTCGAGTAATAATATAATCGTTTTTCTCAAGCTTTTTGTTAAATTATTAGATATAATATTAACATAAAATAAATAATTAAATAAATAAATATAATTCATAAACATAAATAAATAAATAGTAAAATAAATTTAGAAATTTAACTAATCAATAGAGCTAAAATAGCGAGTAGAAAGCATGAGTTGAAGAAACAAAAATAAGCACCCACTATCATTTCTAAAGCAATAAGCAATATAGACTAAGTCACCCTCGCTTTCATATAGTTGGATTTGATTAGGAAAAAGGGATTGTGGGTACTTACTCAAGCATGGTTCCTTACAACAATAAAAAAGATCAACCTCGCCGATCAGATTGACCCTCATCTTCGAGCTTTAGGTCGCCAGGTCTTTGGATTTTGCATTGGTTATTTAAAACATCAATTGCAACATTATATGCAAAAATCTTATCAATAAATAATTTTTTTCAATCCTATTTTCTCCTTAAATTAACGGAATTTATCAAAGTCTCATGATTTTTATCAAGCATTTGGACTTCTTCCATAAGCATAGTATCGAAGTATCTTAGACCATTTTATAAATATTTGCATCCTTTATATTTTCATCTTTCTTTTTTCTTTTGGATATTTTTATCTTTAGAACCGATCGGTCTTCCACGCTTCGGGCATGCTTCAAATTCATTTGCTATAACATTAATAGATTATCCTTCTAGGACATTGACTATAATAGGAGCACTCTCGGCGAGGACATGCATTTTAGTTACTTATTTAGGATCTAAGAATGCATCTAGTAGTTGATTTACAATACCTTGTAAATGAATTATCTTTTGAACTTCTAGTTCACGTTATATTATATGAGGATCAAGATGATATAAGATATTGTCCCCATGTAATATTTTTTTTTAATATTTCTAACTCGCTTATTTTGCTTATTCTCCTTCCTTAATGTTGGAAAAACAATTTTATCAAAATAAAAGTCAATAAATCGAGCTATAAAAATATCTCGTATTCATGGTTCAAGATTTTAAATTATTGAAGAGGATTCAAATCCAACATATATGCCCGAGTCTTATTTAATTGCCCATTTTAGTTTGTTATGGAGGAGTACTACGTATATATACTATAATATCAAAAATTCTTAAATAAGAAATATTTAGCTCATGACCATAAACCAATTGAAGAGAGAAGAATTTCGATAACTTATAGGTCCGATACGAATAAGTGTTCTTGTATATAAGATTGCAAGTCTCCAAACATAAACGGGGAGTTTTTTTTTTTAAATAATAGTTTAGATATCAATTGGAGCCTTTTTATAAATGATTTTGCTAAACCTTTCTCGGTATGAATATGAGTAACGGGATGTTCAACCTTTATTCTACTAGCCAATCAATAATCATTTAATGCTTAGAAGATAAATTCACTAACATTATCAAGGTGAATTGTTTTAATGGCATAATTTATAAATTATGCTTGTACGCTAGCAATTTCGAAACGCCGGGTTTCGAGTAAATAATAAATATGCATATGATCATTTTTGTGGATGCATCTATTAGAATCATAAAATATCTAAATGATCCACATTGTGGATAAATTGATCAACATATATCACTTTGAATATATTCTAAAAACTACCGAATATTCAATCTCAATTTTACTTGGTAATGGCTTAATAATCAATTTGCCTTGAGAACATGCGGAATATGAAAATTCATTAAATTGAAGAATCTTCGGGCTCTTCAATAAATGTCCATATCAGTTTTAAATAATTTTTTTACATCATGAAAGTTCTAGGATAAAATAATTGATCATACTATATAATAAAAGTATTTGAATTAGTAAAGCTTGTTGGTTTGCTATAACATTTGTTTCAATCATTCCAATGTTTTGTAATAAAGACCAAAAGAGAAAATGAGTAAATTTTTTTAATAAATATTTTCTACCCGATATAATAATTATAATATATAAATATTCAATATTTTTCACATTTGTCTGTCTTGATATGATATCAATTTAGATGAATTCAATAAATTTCTATGAGACTTTAGAGAGAATAGTACATCATTTATAATAAAATTTATCATTTCATATAAATACATAAACACAATTCATAAACACGAATAAATAAATAAATAAATAGTAAAATAAATTTAGAAATTTAACTAATCAATGGAGCTAAAATAGCAGTAGAAGGCAAGAGTTGAAGAAACAAAAATAAGCACCCACTGTCGTTTCTAAAGCAATAAGCAATATAGACCGAGTCACCCCTGCTTTCATATGGTTGGCTGTGATCAGGAAAAGGGGATTGTGGGTACTTACTCAGGCATGGTTCCTTACAACAATCAAAAAGATCAACCTGCCTGTCAGATTGAAGGCTTTAGGCTGCCAGTGCTGGATTTTGCATTGGTTATGCACATAAAGTCACAAATCCCCAATTAATACCACGAGGTACTTTATAGAACTACGTAAGACATGTAACACAGCTTCACTAGAACTGTCTGCCAGAACACTTACCCTGACACAACATAAGTTGGCTCATTAACCAGAAGTTTGGCAACCTTCTTTGCAGGAATAGCATTGACAACATTTTCTGTTACCTCAATTAGATGTTCCATTACCCGGCATTGATTCAGGTAATAATATAATCCATTGATTTATTTTTTATATAGCTTTTAAAAAAATTATTATTATTATTTTTATTTTTTTGTGATTGCCAATCTCGGAAGATAAACATTAAAATGAAAACTAATTGTTCAGAATAGGGGACGAATTCTTTTCTGACAGAACTGGTTTTCTCTCCCATATTCAGCATGACAACCTTCTTCTTGGTGCTTTGTCTTTGAACAGAACTTGAATTCTCTCTTTCAAAAACAACAAGAAGATTAAGAACTCGCAATCTGCACCACCTCAGAGACGCGACGACGACAAGTCCGCTTCTTACGAGCGTGACACCCCGGGTTTAATTGATGAGCCCTTTGCTAATTTGCTAGATTGGGGAAGCAGTGGCAATTACTTTGCTCTTGCGATTCAGGATTACCTGCTGTTATGGGAAGGAGATTATTTAGATAATGATGCTGCGGGCGTGATTTCTGTTTCGGATGATGAGATTATAAAGGGTGTGAAATGGTCACGTGATGGATTGCATCTTGCTATCGGGACTGATCATGGTAGGCTGTTAATATGGAGTCTAATTGAAGAAAGATTGGTATCGGGGTGATGTTTTTTTGCCTATGCGTGATCTGAGTTTGAATGCGCTGGACTGGAATCATCAAAATCAAAATGTTGTCACTTGTGGGACTAGTGGGGGTTTGATTGTTGCGTTGATATGCAAGATAAGGATAAGGCTCAAGTTGTGGCTAAATATAGAGGGCATAAGGGCGAAGTCTGTAATGTTAAATGGGATCTCGTTGGCTGAACAGGTTTGATGAGCACAATACTACTGTCAGAGAACTTGCCTGGCGTTCAACAATTGACTGCACCTACTCGATTGCCACGGATGGGGTTGTAGGTGACTGTACTGTTAAGTTTTGTGATACCCCGGAAAGGAATGAGATTGGATCGTTGTGTGGATACTGGGTCTGAAGTTGTTTCTCTTATTTAGAGCAAGCATGACCATTGCGAGCTGTTTAAGATCACTGAAATAGTTGCGCATTCTAATAGAGTTCTGTATATGGCTCAGAGCCCGGATGGATACTCTGTTGCAACAGCAGCTCCAGATGACGCCTTTTGGGTTTGGAGCATTGTTTTTGGTTCTCCAACTCAAAGTGGCAAGAAAAGGAAGCGAGAGCTGGAGCCTTATGCTGATTTCTCTGTCTTCAGGTAAACGAATTCTCAGTTTTGATTACATGTTAGGACATACATATGAGCATGATGCATGATAATATAAAAATAGGATGCAGTACATTGATGGTAGCATAAAAGAAAATAAAATGCTAGTCTTAAGGAGGAAATGCAGGATGAAGTAAATTGATGGTAGGCTAATCAAATCAGAATGCTAGTTTTGAATCAGCATTAGAAGCTCAAGCCCGGTAGAGGGATGAGGGTTGCAGTAAAATTTATGGAAATGTATGTATTGCTGATTGGCATTCCCATGGCAAGATGTTTATACCTCCGAGAGATATTATATATTTCAGTTCCTTAATATGTCATGTTCTGTTGCTTACCCACAGGATTGTGTAGATTTTACCTTATTATTTCAACTTTATAACGAATTTGTTCAAAGTAGATGCTTATGTGCTATTAGCTTGATAATCAGTTTTTTTTTTTTTTTTTTTTTTTTTTTTCACTAGAGAGCATTGGTCCCTTGTCTTTAATGTTTTCTTGCTAGTAACCATTCACCGCCAGTATATGCATACGTGTAATTTTTTTTTTAATTTTTTTTTTTTTTTGGGATACTTGTACCTTTTTGTATCATTTGAAAGGTTTTGAAATAAATGCTTCCATTGGAGCAATGGGAGTCTGGTACTATAAAGAAAACAAGTAATGTTATGAGTCTTCAGTTTGTTGAATTGGAAGCATGGATGACCTTGTGAACTATCTATTTAGATTACAATAAAATACTCTTCTAACCCAATTCAAGGTCAGGATAATTTTTTGCCTCCCAACATAAATTTATATATTCTTTTCAACGATCATTTTTAGTAACCAAATATGATTTGTTCTTCTTGCTCTTTAAGCTTGAGCTTTTATCTCTCCTCTCTTTGTCCTTGCATAAGATTTAAATAAGCTGGCAACTAGGATTGTAAGCTGCAGTTTCATGTCTGTATTCATATCTTTACCACCAGAGGCACAGATAGGAATACGCTCACCAGACTTGTAGTCTTGAATCTCTTCTTCAAATACCTCATGGAAACACTGCTTACATATCATTTTTCACGAAAACGGAAGTGACTATGCTTGTTAGGACTGATAATTTAAAAACAGGAAAATAGAATATATAAATTTAAATCTTATATGTGTCCTGTTTGTTGCTTGCCTGATCATATTTCATGGTTCGGTTATTGTGTACAGAAGATTGCATGGTCCTTGCTTAGGTTTTATCAGAATCAAATCACTTCCACAACTATGTACTGGATCATTTCCTGTTATCAGTTTATGAAGGGATTGCTGATTACCATCTTAAAAGGATGATTTACTTGAAACTATTTAAATAAATGAAATTCAGGTAGGGATTTTTTTCTCCATATGGAATTTGAATTTCCTGAGAAGCAATCAATTGGTAAGGGTCTGAAAGACTGCTGTTCTTCTCATCTCTGCTTTTTCCAGTATGGGCTGCTGTTATAGATTTGTTTTTCTACGAGAATTTGTATTGATTTATGAAGGAGGAGATGGTGAAGATGATTAGTTTAGTGTTCTACACTGAATCTTAGATGTACTCCTATCTATGAGCATGGAACCATCATTTGTATTTGACTATAGCAGAGCAAAATACAAAATTGTTGGTCCATGTGTAACATTTGTTAGCTGAGGGTAATCATATGATGCAAGCATCAAAAGAAAAGCATATGAACATAAGTAGTAATTATGCTGAGAGAGCTGTAAATATATGATCTCAATCAGTATTTAGAGCATCTCACCACCCGATCTAAATGATAATCCACAAAATTAAAAACATGTAGGGCGCAAGGCTAAGGGTCCAACCACTCGAACCAAATTCAATAATTAGTCAAACAATGACATCATAAAGTTAGTTGACGTGATGGGAACATAAGTAATAACCATTTGAGCATTAGTTACAATAGTCAAAGCGGCTAAATCGGGGGTAGTAAGGCTATCTCAAGCAAACCAAAAGCAAATAATCTAGTGCAGTTCATATTCAACTTCATTAGTAACAAATCAATAAAAGAAAAGTTGAGCTTTCAAAGTGTAGCTTAAGTTTCTAACATGTTAGAAACTAACCATTACAACCAGTTTTCTTAATGTATTACAAGAACATATCTCATTAACTCACCCAAAGTGATTCGTATATCTTTTTCAATCGGATCACCTATCTTCGATCTCATTTTTTAAAAGAAAAAGATTATCAAAAGCAATTCATATATATTTTACAATCGGATGACCTATCAAAGGTCCATTTCTCTAATCTTGATTTTTTTTTAAAAAAAAAAAAGATCATCGAAAGCAATTCGTATATCTTTTTCGATCAAATCATCTATCAAAGTTTCATTTCCCTAGTCATGTTTTTAAAGAAAAAAGATCTCCTAGAGCGAGTTCATATATATTTTTCGATCAAATCACTTGTTAAAGGTTCATCTCTCTAATCTTATTTTTAAAAAGAAAAAAATCACTCAAAGTGTTTCATATATCTTTTTCAATCGAATTACCTATCAAAGGTTTGTTTCTCCAATCTCATTTTTTTAAAAGAAATAGATCACTTAAAGTAGTTCATATATCTTTTTCGATCGGATCACTCGTCAAATGTTTATTTCTTTGATCTCATTTTTTAAAAGAAAAGGATCACCTAAAGTGATTCGTATATATTTTTTCGATTAGATCAACTATCAAAGATTTGTTTCTCCAATCTCATTTTAAAAAAAGAAAAAGATCACCCAAAATGGTTTGTATATCTTGAATCACCTATTAAAGGTTTGTTTCTTTGATCTCATTTGAACATTACAAGGCGAGGCTACCCTTCACAACATGACCATCGCATTTTGCTTTTCAAGACAGCCGTCCTTCACAACAAGGCCAAAATATTTTGCTTTATTGGGTAGGTCATCCTTGATAACAAGACTATCATATTTTACTTTTCGGGATAAGCCATCTTTCATAACAAGGCGATCGCATTTTATTTTTTACGGTAGGTCATCCAGGATAATTAGACCATTTTTTACCATTTGGTTTACTTTTTCTTTAAAATGTCACTAAACAAACCCAATCGAAGTTCACACTTCAACTAGCATTTGCACCTGTAACCATTCTAAAAGAGGCCAACTCGTGATAATCTAAAATTTGGGTTACATTTATGCTCCGTTATTTTTTAGCATTTTTCATTTATTTATTTTTACTTTTATTTTGTCTTATTTTTCATGTTTATTTTGATTTATGTTTACCACAATCATTTTTATATTAGCTTAATGTCTCAAAAAATCATGAACTATACACGTTTTAATGATTTTAGATCGTTATTTAAAAATTGTATAAAAAGGTCACCAACTAAGCATTCAATAATAATACTAGCACTAATTTTTTTTTAAATCAAAATTTCGATCAACGCCGACATGGCGGGTAATGAAGCATGGCATGTGGACTTTAGCCATGACATGTGAACTTTAGCCGGGTGCATAGGATCCACGTAATTGACGAGTGATATGGATCCTACGTGGCTTACTAAAGTCCAGGTATTATGCTTACATGGACTATCATATCAACATTGACTAGAATTCGGTCGAAAAATCGGATCGGTGCTAGTATTACTATTGAATGCTTAATTAATGACCTTTCTATACAATTTTTAAAAAACGAGCTAAAATCATTAAAAAAAATGTATAATTCATTATTTTTTGGTAAATTAAGCCTTTTATATTTAATTTTAGGAATTCTCTTTAATTGGAACAAAAAAGAAGGAAATTTTTTTTAAAATTAATTACCATCAATTTTTTTTTAAAAAAAAGGAAAATGAAAATAAAAAAATATTGAAACACAAAATACAAAAAAACATACTTTTGCATGAAATAATTCATTAAGGGTATAATCGAATGAAATAAGGACTAGAATTGAAAACAATGAGGACTGTAATTAAAAACAATTAAGGATAAAATTGAATGAAATAAGGATATACTTGAATAAAATCAGGACAGAAATTGGAAGCCAATATGGGTGAAATTGAATTAAACACAGGGGTACAATTGTGAAAAAATAAAACAACTAGGGACTAAAATTAAAATGACGAGTGAATGATAGGACCAAATTTGATAGAAAGACTTGTCGTTCATTCCAACCCAAAATCAATTTCTTAGTATTGTTCAACGTCTTCCTTAAGGAAAAACTCTTCAATGTTTAGTACTCTGATTCCTCGCTGGCCAGGAATTACGCTTCAACCACTGCATCGACCATAACACACCACTTACACCATATTTGTGCCAGACCTGCACACACACACTATACAATTTTCATTTTGGTTATGTACAAAACAGATGAAATAAAAGAGCATAGGGGTTTTGATGTCTAGTGGGAATGGTTTCGATCGGTTAGGAGTGATCCTAGGACGAAGAAGAGTTGAATTTTGGGTATAAATTAGGCACATTCAGCAGAAAAAAGATCAAGAGGATTGAATTTTTAGGTTTCAAGAGAGTATTTTTTGGGTTTTACAAAGAAGAATCTGGGTTTGCAAAAGAGGGTTTTGTATAAGAATAGTTTAGTTTTGGTAATTAAAGATTCAATCACTATAGTCTTTAAACCTAGAAAAGAACAAAAGGGAATTAGAGGGATTGGAGCTAGGATTGGAGAAATAGGAGAGCTTTACAAAGACAACCTACTACCACACCCATTCGGCCAGCATAAACCTCATTCATCCTGTATATTCTAACTCTTCAATTTCATTCAAAACACTAATAATAAGAGAGAGGGATGTAGAGAGAGAGGTAGAAAAAGGAGATAGAGAAAGGATTTTGGGATTTTTTGGGAGAATTTTTCTAGTAAGCGTTCTAGGTTTTCTAGGCATCTTTCCTGAGTGTCAAGCCTCTGTTCAAGGCATTCAACACCAATAATAAGTTTCCTAGGTTCTTAAAAACCACCCAAAGCGTCATTATCATTAATCATACCTACAAAACAACATTCGTCCCTTCTGATCAAGCCCGGTTAGTTTTCAATTCCATTCCACTTCTAGTTTTCTCTATCATTTATTTTCTTGTTATTTGAGTTTAGAGTTCTAGTTCATCTAGGATAGTGAGGATAGAAAATACCAGTTTAGCTTCTAGAGTGGGTTTTGGTCCAAAATATTGTACTTGGGTTCTACGAGACAGAGAGAGAAAAGATAGAAATGCTCGAGGAAATAAAAGAAAGAAGAAAAGGAAAGGAAAGAGATTCAGGTCAGGGGAAGAGAGAAAAAAGGTGTTGGGCTGGGCCCGAGAGAAAAAGAAAATGGGTTGGGCTTAGCTTAGCTCACGAGGAAGAAAAAAACAAGAAGAAAAGATAGGCTTAGTTGGGCTAGTTGCCGGGCTTACTGGACTTGGGTAGTT